GATGTCGGTTGACCATCTGAAGCGAAGGGTCGAAGCTTACGTCGATTCGAACTGGGCCCCCGAACGGAATAACGGTCGGAGGTCTCTGTCGGGATGTGTCGTCTGTTATCCTCGTCGATGGCTTCCCCATCAAGGCATTCACCCGGACTCAGACCAGCGTGGCAATGTCGAGCGCAGAAGCAGAATTGGTTGCAATTACCGAAGGAGCTAAGGAAGCTGTAGGAGTTGTTGCTTTGGTTCAGCACATCTGGGGAGTGTTTCGCACCTGTCAGCCCCGCGATCTACTCAGACTCGCAAGCCGCCATCAACATTGGATCCATGCATGGTTTGCTTCGTCGAGTCACAGGCACATTGATCTTCGCGTGTGTTGGATTCAGGCTGCGATTCAGGACAAGTTGATTACGTTGTCTTGGGTTCCTGGAGCCGAGAACCCAGCTGATGTCTTCACGAAAGCGCTGGGAAAGCCACAAGTGCATTGGGACAAGCTTGGGATCATTGTGCATCTGCCGCGGCAATCCCTCTTGTTGCTTGACCTTGATTTTGATCACGCGGTGCTCTGCATCATGCTTGGAAGAGTGGTGTCTGCCCCCGTCCGTGAGCGCTTTAGTCGCCAGCTTGACGAGGTGAACCCTTTGAGAAACCGTTGGGTTGTGGTTGAGTTTTGCACCTCAGTGAACTCCGGCATGAAAGTTTCTGCCGAGGCCTTCAAAGATCTGAAGGTGATCTGCGTCACGGAAGAGGAAAATGGACTGTCTGAGGACACTATCGCGATGACTCGAAGCTTTATCGTGCGCATGGTTGAACACAAGGTGCGTGTGCTTGTTTGGTCTTCGACCCCGTGCACAGGTGGATGCTTGTGGCAGCATCTTCACATGGGCAGAGCTGGACACGATGCCCGCCTCAGGAAGCTGTGGTGCATCCAGCGCATGCTTTGGAAGAACCTTTGCCTGTTGGTGTCGCCAGTTGAAGGCACGAGTGCCGAGCTTCAGCCGTACTTTGCAGTCGAGTGGCCCAAGACGTGCCAGTACTGGAGCTGGAAAGACGTTAAGAAGATGCTTGCGAGCCGCGAGCGTCCTGTGATCACCAGCTTCGTTGATGGCTGTGCTGTCGGCATGATTGGAGCGGATGGAGCATTGATTCACAAGCGTTGGCGTGTGGACACCGACTTCGAGCCGCTTGCTTGTACGTTGAACAGCATCCGTTGCACCAAGGACCATGTTCATTCCGAGAACTTCAATCTTCGCGAGACGCAGCACTACCCCGTTTCCTTGTGTGACAGAGTGTTGCAATCTTTGAAGTGAGCCCAATACGTCGCGTCCTCAGCTTAGACTCAGAGACGCCGCACACCCGCAGCTGGTAGCCTCGAGGTGAGTGCCAGTTAGAGTTTCTTTCTTTTTGAGTTGAAGCCCATCTTATCCTGATGTTGGGTCTGGCAGCCATCGAGCAATATCGCCTGGACGGCAACTGGGTTGCAGCTTGGAAGCTGACGCAACTGATCTCCACCTTTTGCGGAGTGGCGAGCGCGGGACCACTACCTACCGCAGCTGCGGGCGGACCATGCGCATTCGAGGCTAGTTCATTCCACATGGACTGCAGCAGTGATCGCCAGACTTCGCGACGAAGAGATTCTGGTGAAGAGGCGCTTCAAGCACGACGGCAACAAGAACGACGACACGCCCCCCCAGAGACCTGGAAAAGGTCGGCCGCAAGGAAAGGGCCAACCGAGCGAAGCAAGCACCAAATAGGCGCAGCCAGCCGGCAGGATGCGAAGGCGCTCCCTGGTTGGCGACATGTGCCAGAGATTTTGCATGATCTTTTGAGTGCGACGTGCACTGACTTTTCTGTTTTCGTGCGTAGTACTGCGTGAAGCTAGTTGGGGCCCGCAGTCTAGGCGCCGTCATCGTAGATGGGTTGAGCGACGGGCTCTTGATGTGGCCACTAACTTGCTTGTCTGTGCAGTTAACTTTTGCTTCTTAGGGGGCTCGCGCCGATGTCCACCACAAGGTTGTCGCGGGAGCCTTTCGCCGGAGCAATCGGAGATGGTCCAGGGTTTGAGGAATCGGGTGCGCGTTTTGAGCCGCCTGGTGGAGGGCGACGACCTTTCTACTGGGTGCGGCTCCAAAATTAGTGGGTTATGTGATGATCTCGAGTCTTTTGAGCGTACGCTAGACTCCTTTAGGGATCTGGTTTACGGAGCTGCCAAGTTTAGTACTTCTTGCAAGTCAGACGGAGCTAGTAAGTACCCAAGTGGTCCCCACTGTGGCTTCCAAGGTGGCCTCCCCTGAGCAGTTGCGGGGCTTTGACCCGGTGCCCTTCTTAAGTGAAGAGTTCAGGGTTGCATTCGAGCATCCGGACTTGTTGTTGAGGGAGCAGGTGCTCAGGAAAGTGCCGCCACTTATAACATCGAGCCACACGGAGCTGTGGCACTTGATGTGGCGCTGGGATGCCGTTGATCGTCTATGCCTTGCCTTAGAGACACAGGGTAATCCTGAACATGCTTGTAACCTGTTTTGTTTGGCTAAGCCAGACGGTGAGCTGAGACAGATCATCGACAGACGGCCGCGGAATGCAGCAGAGCTGGGGCCCCCGCCCTCGGCATCTAAGATGGGTCATGCTTCTTCCTTCCTAGGGATCACAGTTCCTCTTGAGGGCTGTCTGAGAGGTTGTGTGGATGATTTGCGCAACTTCTATCACGAGTTTAGTGTGCCGCTGGAGCGCGCTCTGAGTACGCCTGTGGGGCCCCGGTGGAAGCTTCAGCAATTTGCTGGCTCACGTGCGCTTCAGCGCCTGGAAAAGAGGCATCCCGGTGTCACCAAGGATGGCGCAAGGTGGGTGAGAGCATGTTTTGCTGGGCTGTCGATGGGAGATCATTGGGCTCCGGCGCTGGCTCAGGCTAGCCATGAAGGGTTACTAGAGGCTTGCGGCGCTTTAGTGCCTGATGAGAAACTCGTGTTAGGGTCACCGTTGCCTCGATCTCCCTCTCGACATTACTCGGGAGTGTGCATTGACGATAAGGTTGGTATTCAAGTTTTCACTTGTGTGCCTGAGAAAGTGCCACCCTTTAATCCCGATGCTCCCCCCCAAGGCCGAGACATGGAAGTGTGTGCTTTAGCTGAAGCTGCCTATGTCAAAGCTGGGCTGCAGATCCACCCTAGGAAGAAAGAGCGTCGCGTTCGGGTCTTCAAGGCTTGGGGGGCTCAATTCGAAGGCGACACCGGCACTGTGTCCATAGACAGGACGCGGCTGGTCAGCCTATGTATCTGTACTGCTCGAGTTGCAGCACATGGAGTGATTTCGGAACGCGTGCTGCAGAAGCTGCTAGGGCTGTGGGCTTTTGCATTTCAGTTTAGGCGCCCATTGTTTTCCATTTTCGAAGTAGCCTACCATGTAAGTCATCCGTCAGGCAATCCCGGCACCCCTTTCAAAATGCCTCGAGGTCTGGTGCAGGAATTGTAGCTCGCATCAGTGCTTGGTCTGGCGGCAGTAGCTGATCTCAAGGCTCAGGTATGCCCAGTGATTTTTGCGACTGATGGCTCTTCAGAGGGGGCGGGAATCGTAGGATGTAAAGTTGGCGTGCCTGCTGCCACAGAGATCTTTCGGAGAGCTGACATGAGGGGCTTCCACACCCGATTGCTGTCTCCAATCAGTGCGTACTTGCAGGAGCAGGGCATGGGCCCGCAAGAGCCAGATGTGGAAGAGCGGTGCCAAGATCCACTCGAAACTCAGGCCTCGGAAGAGGGACAACCCAAGTGGAGGGGTGAGGTTACGATGCTCAGTGAGATGCCGCCACTTATCTCAGAATGGTTCCATAAGCTAGCCCTTCGGTGTGGTTGGCCCAAGGTCCCGAGGCTACCTGAGTTTCGGTTGGATTTTGTAGAGCTGTTCGTTGGCTCCTCCGGAATCACTGCAGCCATGCATGAACGTGGCTTCTTGGTGGGCCCAGCCATAGAGATGAAGATGGGATCTTTTTGATCAAGGCCTGTGCTATCTGAATCTCTTATTGGGGTTGTGCCGCGCTGGTAGAATAGGCATGCTTTGGCTTAGCCCACCGCGTCGCAGTTTCTCTGTTGCTCGGCACCCGAGACTACGATCTACCGAGTACCCGTTAGGACTGGAGTTGTTAAATTCAGAAGTGTTGGAGGGTAGCTTGCTGTTGCATTTAGCCAATTTAGCCCTAGCTTTGTTTCTCGCCCAGCTCTCGGTAGGCTCTGTGGCAGTTGTCTCGGTGCCTTGGAGCGCTTACTCTAGGAAGGTGCCGTGGTGGCAGTATGCCGTCGCATGCAGCCTAGAGTATCGCGTAGACATGTGTAGGTTCGGTGCACTGCAACAGAAGCCTACAGCACTGTTAACCTCCGTTGCGCTGTTTAAACGGTTGAGCAAAAGGTGTCGATGTTCTGAGGCCCATGCTAGAGACGTTTCCTCAAGGAGCGTAAGTCAGTATCCTGCGGAGTTTTGCAAGGAAGTAGCTAGAGTTTTCGAGGATGTCTGCACCTTGAGGGATCACAAGCCTGGAACAAGTGCCAGTGAGAGTGTGCAAAGCTTCGATTCTGCGAGATGGGGGGAACTGCGGGACCACCGTGGAGCGCAGAGATTTGTTTCTCACCTGTGGGCCACCCATCTAGCGGAATCTCTCCCCTGGAAGCCGCTGCGAGCATACCGATTTGCACGTCCCGATCACATAAATGTGTTAGAGTGTCATGCTCGCAAGACCCTGATGATTTTGGCTCCTATGAATAGTCGAGTGGTTTGCTTTCAAGATTCACTGGTCACATTGGGAGCTACATCAAAGGGTCGCAGCTCCAGTCATGCACTCAACTCAGTGCTTCGTCAGGACATGGCGCTTCAGATAGCTAAAAACATTTATCCTGTAGGTATTCATTGTCCCACTTGGGCGTTGCGTGCCGACGATCCTTCCAGACGACGCAAAGTGCGTCCACCTCGCATAGCTGTACCGAAGTGGCTTCTGAGTCTCCGCGCAGGGGCCTTGTCCGTGGGACAGGATGATCTGGACAGGTGCTCCGACACACCTCGCTCGTGGGCTAGGTGGCTCCTCCTGGGGCAAGCGGCTGCTTTTGCTGCTGCTGGTGACTTCCCCTCAGTGGGTGCTTGGGCCCAGGCCTGGAGCGACGCCTCGCGACCGAAGCAACCTGGACCGTGGGCGCGTCACCCCGGCAACAGCGAGAGTGCGCACAGGCCTGTGGGACAGCTTCCTGCAGTGGTGGAGCGAGGAAGAGATCACAAGCACGCCATTGACAGAGTGGGTGCGACGGAACCCGATCGACTTTTCCCTGCATCTGGAGGAATACGGACGAGTCCCCTACGAGAAAGAGGAACCGAGAAGGAACTTTGCAGAAACAGTCAACACAGTGAACCAGAAGTTTCCCTTCCTGAAGAGCTTTATGGCTGGACCCTGGGGGCTTTTAACCACCTGGGAAATCCTTCACCCGAGTCACGTACATCCGCCGATGCCACTACCGCTCCTCAAAGCGGTAGTGGCAACGGCGTTGAGCTGGGATTGGACGCGATTTGCCCTCATGCTTTTGATAGGGTTCCTCGGTTTATTGAGACCTTGCGAACTATTCGGTTTGAGGGCCAGCGACTGCATTCTCAGCAACGACAGTGGGTGTGCCAATGTCATCTTCTTAAGGTTGGAGTTGGTGAAAGCGAGGACTCGAGGTGCGCGGCGGCAGAGTGTACGCCTCGAGGAGCCCTTTGTCGTCGACTTCCTGCAAAGATCTTTAAATGTCATGACAAACAGCGAGCGGCTTTGGAGCTACTCTCCAGGCCTGTTTCGCAGCCGCCTCAAGATGGTCTTGAAAGAAGTGGCAGATCAGCCCAATCTGTGTGTTCCTAGATCCTTGAGACCTGGCGGGGCGACTTACCTGTTTCGGTTGTGGCAAGAAGACCTAGTCCGGCTACAGTGGCGAGGGAGATGGTTGCATATGAAAACTTTAGCTCACTACGTTCAGGAGTTGGGCTGTTGTAACGTCATGCAATCGTTGTCTCCCGGAGCCCTCAAGAAAGTACACCAGCTGGCAGCTCTGTGTGAGCCGGCTTGCGCAGAAGTGGTGCTGGAGGTAGACTTAGTGTCACAAGTTGAACGGCTTGTTCGACAAGTCAAGGTGGGTCGGCTTCGTTTGCAGCCCCGGGATCTTGAGGTGTCACACTGAGACCACTTCCCTACTCAGGCGTCCCGCCCATCCCGCCCGACTGCCAGAGTTGGGTTAGAGGGCGCGGATATCCGTGCTGCATAATGCTGTGATACTTTGAGATCTCTTCTTGTGGGCAGATGCACGAAAAGGAAGGCGACCGACCACAGTGCCTCACACAGTCAAGCATGTGTAACGATGCTTTACGAAGTGCCAACGTGGTCGAAGCTTCTTTGCTCAGCCGCCATCTGGAGAGTCTTGAGCTTGTTTTGTGCCAACTGCCTCAAGGATGAGACTGCAGTTTGAAAGGATCCTCAAGGGAATCTTTGTGAAGTGCTTACCAGAAGCACTGGTGTCTCTGAGGGGCCTGAGTTGGTTGTGCGAGTTTGGTTGCAAGCTGTAGTCCAGAGTTTACTGCAGTGAAAGTGTGACCGAACTGCTTGGCTCAAGCGAGTGAAAAAGAAGTCCGAGTGCAGCGCTTCGCTTTGCAGTTTGTCCGAAGCCACTTCGTGAAGTTTGTTTGCCGACTGGGAGAGCTTCGTGAGCTTTTGCTTGCAACTTCAAGGTTTTGAACTTGGTTGTGACGGTCTCGAAGTTTTTCGAATCGTCACGTATGTGTCGGTGCATCCGATGTCGGTGCTCTTTGGAGCTCCGCCGTCAGCTGCCACTCGGCAGGTGCTTCGCGCCATTGATACACAGAAGCGAAAGGCTGCGGGTCTCGCTCTTGGCAACAGTTTGCAGAGTATCACAGCCGTGTCTCTGCGTCGCACTCTCTACGGTTTTCGGGTTGCGACCGATTTCCAATTGATCGTGCGACTTGGCTTTCAAGTGCGCGCCACCATTTTTCAGATTGATCTTGAGGCTTTAGTGGTGCTCGCTTCGGTGTCCCGCCTCGCCTATAGGACGGTTTTTAGGCTTTACGAGGGCTCGGACTTCTTCCGCGCTGCGGCCATCCAGTCTGCACTTATTGACATGCAGCCCTGCGCGTTGGGATGGCCTGGGCTGCGGAGCCTGCCTTACTTCTCCATGGAGCCGTTGGGCGACCTCCCGCTTACGCGTCTGCGACCGCCGCTGCCGGTATGCGCTCCACACTGCATGGAATCTTCACTCTACGATGAGCTCTTGCTCTTGCGAGGCCACCAAGGTGGAAAGCTTGGGCGTGGGCAATTTTGCAATAACCTGGGCCCCTTCATTCTCTGGGGAGTAAGCTCTGTGTGCCTCCGCCTTTCATCTTTTGCCCTTGCGATACCCACACATGGGAAGCTGGGCCTGGTGTGCAAGCGGGGCCAAGACCTGGCTGGTTAGCCAACATGGCATTTACCATGCGGCATTGTTGGTTGCATTGCGCTCGTATTGTGCTGCCCCTCCAAGACCCACCATGTTGGGAAGCTGGGCCTGGATCAAAGTGCTTGTGTTTGCTGGTTGGTGACACTGGCACGCGCTCCTTGGGCGACTTCAACCCAATGCCTCACCTTTCTGGCATGCTTGTTCTCCTGGGAAACTCCGTGGCGGGCCCCAAAGGACTTTCTACCTATGTTCAGGAGCTAGCACACAGCCGATGGCTCTGCACGGCGGGTACACTGCAGCAGCATGCTTTGGTGTTAATTGCGCATCTGCCCTGGCGAGACCCACGATACTGGGAAGCTGGGCCATTTTATCTTCTACGCATTTGCCACTGGAACATGCTGCTTTGTGGATGCTTGTACACACACCGCTTCGTCCTGGCCAACAAGACACCTGAGAGCTGTGCTTTGAAAGGCCGAACGATCCCTGCTGGCTAAGTCTGCAAGTCGCGGCCGGTTTCACCTTTACATGATTCTCTTGTACAGCTCTTTATTGTTTTCTTGTAGTTCTTACTGGGACCGAGTGCAGCAACTGCTGTCTTTGAGGCCCGCCCACGCCAAAAAAAACCAATCCTGCCTTTTTGCATCGGTCAGCCTTCGGTTAGCCGCCGGCCTACAGATCCAACACGGTTAAAAAGAGAGCTGAAGTGCTAGAGCAGCGCAAGCCTAAAACGATTGCATCAACAACAAATTCTCACACATAGCAGATCATGCCAGTGTGCCAGGCCTCACAGGCATATGGGAAGCCCGTTTTAGAGTCTCTAGAGGGGCCCCTGCCCAGAGCTCATCAACGCATGAACCCAGCTTTGATCACACTGTCCTGCAAGCCAAACAAAACACTGCAGCAGCTGATTTGCTAAATTTCACGGGTCGGGGGGGTTTGGTCGGAAAAAAAATTATAACTTTGTTGGTTGTTGGTCTTGGTTGTTTTTCTTTTGTTTGGGCCTTGGGGCTCGGGGGGATAATTTCAAGCAGGCCTTGCGTTTTAGATTTGTTTGCCATACATCGGAACCTCCCCGCTGTGCACATATGGCATGTAACTCGTCATGTAGGGTACAATGTAGGGTCGATCTACATCACAGGATAAGAATAACGATTTGTATCTACCCTGAATTTGCATTGCCCCATCACGATTATTGAGCTTTCTGCTTGTGATGAATTCACACACTCTTGTTGGAGCCGCGAAATTTGGGCCTAGAACCTAGAAGAAGCAGTGGGAGGGACAGAGCCGGGATGACCGAGTGGGCCGGGCCGGGGTGGCGGGCGAAGATTGACTGACTGATGGACAAAACACTAAACCCCTAAACCCCGCCACCTGTAAATCCTAAACTTCTCAGGTGCGTAGCCGTACACTCGGTGAATCAATGTTCTCTTGAACGTGCTTTGCAGTCTTGAGACATGCCTGACAGGTTTCCTTTATGTCGTTTCAGTTGGCAAAACCAAAGCTTGTGTGTTCTTATGCCGATGTCTAACATTTACTAGCATGAAATCAGACAAGTGAAGTGAAGCCGCCGCATTTAAGCATTTAAGCAAGCGCAGAACTAAACAGGATTCTCTTTTAGTACGGGCTATCGAACAGGGATCAGCTTGGGTTGGAAACCGGTATCGCCGGAATTGTGATACCACAGGGGAAACTGGCTTGGGGCAGCCAAGCGTTCATAGCAACGTTGAGATTTGATCCATCCATGTCGGCTTTGCCTATCCTTAATATCGAGATCATCGAGATGCAGAAGTCCCAAAGAGTCGGGACCCCGGCCCCTTCAGTCGTGCATCATACGATACGATATCATACAATACAATAAAAAGTAATACAATATAATGTAATATAAGGTACTATGATATAATATAATGTAATATAATGTAATATAACGTAAGATAAGATAGGATAAGATAAGATAATATAACACATAATACAATATAATATGATATAAAATAAAGTAGAATAAAATATAATATATCGTAGCATAACCTGTTATAATATAGTATAACACATTATGACTTAACATAATATGACATAGCATATTATAACATAATACAATAGAACAAAATGACAAAAGAAAAAGGGGCGAGAGAGATTGAGCTAGATTTACTAACATAGCATATTATGATATAATACAATAGAACAAAATGATAAAATAAAAGGGGGCGAGAGAGATTGAGCTAGATTTACTAATTTAATACAAGAAACGATTGATCGAACCAGAGATGCTTAACAGCAGCACATCGTAATCAGGACAGCAAAAACAAAGAAGATTACAAAACGAACGTCCCAATCAGAAGGACTCGATAACATATCGGTATCATTCCGTCGAGGGCCAGATTTTTCCCAATGATAACGGGTAGCCCCCCCCAGCGGTAGCTCTCGCCAATTTTCTGCGAGTGGGATGCCAGGTTTTTCCCAATGATAAAGGGGTAGCCCCCCAGCGGTAGCTCTCGCCAATTTTTTACTGCGAGTGGGATGCCAGATTGTTCCCAACGCTAAAGGGGTAGCCCTCCAGCAGTAGCTCTCGCCAATTTGTTGCTGCGAGTGGGATGCCAGATTTTCTAAACTTTTGCAAACCAACAATTGTACATTTTGCACACCAAAAATTGTTCGTTTTTCAGGCAAACCAAAAATTATACTTTTCTTTCGCTTAAACCAAATTTTATATTTTTCTCGCAAAACAAAACTTGTAATTTTGTTTCTCGCAAACCAAAACTTATTTTTTTTGGCGTGCAAACCAGAAAAAAGTTCTTTCGCGCAAACCAAAAACTTGTAATTTTTTTTGCGCAAACCAAAGATTTTTATTTTTTTCGTGCAAAACAATAACTATAATTTTTTCGCGCAAACCAAAAAGTACATTTTGTCGCGCAAACCAAGCACTAGAACTTTTTTCGGGCAGCCCAAAAAATATACAAAACAATTTCGCGCAAACCCAAAATTAATATTTTTTCGCGCAAACCAACAATTATAAATTTTTTATCGCGCAAACCAAAAATTATAAATTTTTTTTCGCGCAAACCAAAAGTTATAAATTTTTTTTATTTCAAACCCTAATTATAAATTAAATTTATAATTAGGTTCCAAAAAACGCACGCGGCAGATTCAGGTTTTTTGAAGGCCAACCTTGAAAAAAACCTGAGTCGCCCGCGTGTGTTTTTAAAACGCACGCGGGCGACTCAGGTTTTTTTCAAGGTTTGGCCTTCAAAAAACCTGAATCTGCCGCGTGCGTTTTTTGGAACCTAATTATAAATTTAATTTATAATTAGGGTTTGAAATAAAAAAAATTTATAAGTTTTTGGTTTGCGCGAAAAAAAATTTATAATTTTTGGTTTGCGCGAAAAAAATTTTATAATTTTTGGTTTGCGCGAAAATTTTTTTATAATTTTTGGTTTGCGCGAAAAAAAATATAATTTTGGGTTTGCGCGATTTTTTTTAAATATCTTTTGGGTTGCGCGAAAAAAGTTCTAGTGCTTGGTTTGCGCGACAAAATGTACTTTTTGGTTTGCGCGAAAAAAATATAGTTTTTGTTTTGCACGAAAAAGAATAAAAATCTTTGGTTTGCGCAAAAAAATTATAAGTTTTTGGTTTGCGTTTGCGCGAAAAAAAGCTTTAAATTGTTGGTTTGCACGCCAAAAAAAGTTAAGTTTTGGTTTGCGAGAAACAGAAATTATGAGTTTTGGTTTGCGAGAAAAAGT